CTTCTAAAACGCAGTTAGTTTCAGATGTTAAACTAAATTACACCTACAACTAACGACAGCTAAAAGTGAGCCGCGGAAACTAAGTTTACCACCTAATATTAATATCGAGTAGTCATGGATCATCACGAAGTGTCTGCAGTTCTCAATCACAGAAGTCAAGCAGTGTTTACGGCAGTCGTGGCTTGGATGGGTGACCGTTAGTTGAAAAAATGCGATTAAAACCGATTTAAAAAAAAGTAATCTATTTCGATTGAGATTTGTGTCCTGAAATAATATGCGTGCATTAAAATGTTGTATTAATCCTTACATTCGTCATAAATTCGAGTTTGGTTTCAAAAATTTTTTCTTGTTATTGGTTCGACTAATTCTATAATACATTTAGAATAATAAAATATATATGAAATTTTATTATTAGTTGAATTAATTTTGACATGATATATTCATATATCAATCAGTAAATTTTGGATCGACGAATTGCTTTTTTTGTATGAGCAATCGTCGAAGTTTGGATTGACATAGATTCCTATCACCTGATACTAATCCGTCTAAAGTGAATTATATCCGATTTGAGTGATTTTAATTCTTTTTAATATCGTATTTTCGGTGCAAAAATCCCGATCGATTCGGATAACTTTTTTTATAATCGGTTTTAATCGAACATTTTCGGCAGGGTTGCGCTTAGCTCATCTGATGTACGTTCGTATTCTGCTTTCGCACATAAATTTACATCTTCCACAGCGTTCGCGTTGTCGTTGCTTTTTCTTGATTCGGTACAATCAGCTGTTTTGTGACCCACTCTTCTACACCAGTGGCATCGATACTTGAACTGCTCGCCTTTCAATTTATCGTCATTTCTCGATTTACCTATCGATTTTTTATCCACTTTTTGGCCTTTGATGTCTTGGACGTCTGACCGATCTTTTCTTTGCGAACATTGCGTCCGACGATAACTCACGCGATTCGTTCTTCCTTGCATTGTGTTCTTCAATGATTTTTATGCATAGGACTTCGGGGATTGGCAACTCGTCTCGCGGCTCAATTGCGCATCGAAAATTTTCGAAACTAGGCGGAAGACTATAGAGCAGCATCACAGTTAACAAGTCAGAGTTTATGTCCACTTCCATTTCACTCAGCTTTTCGATCGTGTCGAAAAATTTCCGGAGATGATTACGTACACCCATGGTCATTGATTCTGTCCCTCGGAAATTTTCACAAACTCTGAAGGGAACACTTTTCTACATTAATGCTCATAATCCAAGCACGATTTCGTTTTATTAATCGTGCATGGATTATGAGCATTAATGTAGAAAAGTAATCACTTCAGAGTTTGTAAAAATTTTCGAGGGATAGAATCAATGACCGTGTATGTACGTCGCCGCCGTTCATTCTGTGCAAAGTCAGTTGCTTCAACAACGTCGCTTTCCGGTCCACTCGATTAATATATCGATTTTAATTTGAACCTCACTTCTCTCGACGTATTGCATCCATTAATTTGTTTCAATTCCGATGACTTAATAGTCAGGATAATGTCCGCCCTTGCTTTCTTGTCCTCGACGTCCCATGTTCTCGCCGCTTCCACCGACATCGCGTTATCCGGGATAATCTCAGGCTTTACCTTTTTACCACTAACGTGTCCCCATGCGTCGTTTTTCATCAAGATCGCTTCCATGTGAATTTTCCATGTATCATAGTTTTCTTTGTTCAGAAGTTCTATTCGGATCATATTTGACGAAGCCATCTCCTCGGTTTTTCGTGTGGTGTCGAACTTTCAAGAACGATTCCGGCGTTAACCTCACTTTCTTCTCTTCTTCACTATTTCTTGTGTTCGCACTTAATTTCCGTAGCCTGGGCTCATAACCTGTTAGAGCAGCACGTAATGGCGATAATGAATAGCATGATCATTTACACAGAAGAGAGTAATAATATATTTATTTCGTGAGTTACAGCAAATATCTTGAACGACTGTAAGACCGTTGTAACATCTATTTGAAGAAACGAACAAAGATTATGAGTAATATATAGATAAGATACAAGGGGGATTTCTTTAGTATTGTTACGCCCGTGCTTCGCGGTGTCGGCCGAGCATAAGTTGCGCCGACTGAAATCGTCCCCGGAAGCGGACAAAAGAGGGTTGCTCCCTTAACAACGTGTTATTTGGCGGGACTCTCTGGATTGATGCGAGTTTGAGATACGCTCGAGTCTATTAAGAGTTCAATAAACCGTCGTAGTTCATTTATAAACGAGTGTGTTGTTCTTTTCCGCGCGAGCTCGCAAGTGTCTCCGTCTTTGCCGCAGGCGCGAGTGTAACAGTGAGCGCAAGCGTAGACTCTCTGGATTGACGCGAGTTTGAGATACGCTCGAGTGTATTAAGAGTTCAATAAACCGTTGTAGTTCATTTAT